CGTTGTGCGCTAAATTCTCAGCTTCTATGACACTACTCTCTTTGCAAAGGCCATTTATCAAAGAATTATATGCTATCACATTTGGGGTTATTTCCTTACTCACCAGTTCATCAAGCAATCGAAAAGCACTTTTTAAATTTTACAAACCCCTTTATCAACGCATGGTAGGTGAACCTACAACGCTTCAGCTTGTGTTCCTCCATCTCCCTGGCCAAATTTAAGGCTCCCTTTGTGCTACCACTCTCACAATGGCCATCGATAAGAGTATTATATGTAACACCATCGGGCACTAAGCATTTCGAAACCATCTCAGTAAAGTAATTCATTGCATCTTTCGTTTGTTTGTTTTTGCATAAACCGGATATTATCACATTATAAGTAAAAGAATCAGGCCTCGTTTGATTCTTTTCCATTATTGACAGCATATCAATAGCTTCCTTAATGTTTCCTAACTTCACAGATGATTGTATAGCCTTATTGTAAGTGAACGTATCAGGCCTAAGCCCTAGCGCCAACATTTCAGAGAACACTTCTAGGGTTTCATTATAGAGTCTCCCTGAAGCTAAAACCTCCAGAAGCTTGTTGCCTGGCAAAATGAAGGCAAAACACTGTATCTTTTCATCAATCGAAAGGCTTCCATCGATTCCATTGCCAATTTAAGATCAACAAATGAATTTAACAGTAAGTTACAGGCTAATGCTGGACATGAGGAGCATCAGAGAAAGATTTGAGGAGCTCAGAAGGAGAAGAGAACACGCTTCTGAATAGTAAGAAAGACCTGATTAGGGTTTGAGCGTTCTGAGCCTTACCTTGTTCAAGAAGATAACGAAGCTTGGTGATGCTCTCATGGAGGTGTAGCTCTGCATTCTGGGGTTTCCCTTCTGGAAATCCACGGGGAATTCAGAGAAAGCTTGAGAACTGTGACTTCTGAAGCCATTAAAAGCTGCAGAGAAACGAGATAATTTTTTAGTAAAAGAGCAAAGGCGGGAAATGAGAGAGCAAAAATGCCTTTTCTCCATTAAAGGAGCTTCAGGTTTGGAGTAGAAACAGTTATTTCAAAAACCTTTCATTTCAAATCGAACCGGTAGTCTGCACCTGTTACTAAAATGTTAGCGTAATATTTTTTTATTAAAATTTTAATATATCAAATTAATTATTACTATGATCATTAATTTAATTATAGTAATATTTATTATTTATAAAAATAAATTTACATTATATAATTATTCATAATTTTAATAAAAATTCATGATTTTTATATCTATAACTAATCAAACTATATTTAATTTCATTAAACTAAATGAATTATTGCATTTTTTAATTATCAAAGTACAATTACTATTATTCATATACACATACTGATCACATTTATAATGCCAACCAACAATATCTGCGAAAATAAAAAAAATTAAAGTGGTATATATTTGTATAATAATATTATTATGAATATGTAGTTATATTTATGGTAATGCAATCTATAATTATAATTATTTGTATAATAAATATGATATTTAGTGAAATATTACAATCATACTCTTGCAATTTTTAATGAATAATTATAATTATTTTGTTATGAATATTGTAATAGTTATGAATTATAGTTAATATAATCAAATTGATTAATTTTCTCCATGTTAATTCTTGTTGACAGATATTATTAATTGATATAAAATATATAAAAATTGTAAATTTTTATTCATTACAAATAAATTTATGCAGTATGCAATAGTAATTTATTAATAATACAACATCGCATCATAATATCCACTAATGAAATTATAATAAATAATTATATAATAATAAATTTTTAAATAAATAAAAATATTATAAAGTTTCAATATCTTTAAATTTATGCAATATCAATTCCTCTTAATTATTATGAATATAAGTTTTCATTATAATATATTATATTCATTAATTCCTTATATTATTATAAAGCATGGGTTAATTATATATAATTCTTTATTACTAATAAACGATGCTAATATACTATTTATGTAAGTGTCATTATATCATTATAATTAATATATACCTTACAAGAGAGAGAGAGAGTATGAGGGTTAGAGAGAGTGTCGAGATGAATAGAGGACGAGGGAGAGGGAGAGAGGTGCGTAAATAAATTTTAAGATTTTTTTTTTTTTATGAAACTTAAAAACTTTTATTCAAAAGGCTGAAAGGAAATTACAGAGTTAGAGACAACAGCCTCCGATAACAAGACTTTTTTTGGTAAAAGAATCAACCAACATATTAGCAATTATTCATAGCTCTACTTACCTTTATAATTATATTATTTCTAAAAAATTGATATATGTGTATTCATAGCTCTACTTATCTTTATAATTATATGATTTCTAAAAAATTGATATATATATGTGTATCATTTTAGAAATGTTTTGTAATCTCTTTCTATGGGTTGTAGAGAGCCTTCGTCTTTCCTCATCTCAAAATGATACATGTATATTTTTTTAAAATCTCTTGAGATCATAATAACCACATATTTTCTGTGTAATGGATTGGGAGCAAAACATTTTAGATATCTTATTGGGATGAACAACAACATATAATACTCTTTAGTTTTCAAAAAATTTAGATAATACGTTTTTTTTTTTTGTAAAATTTAGATAATACATATTTGCTTATATATTCATGATGACCACATATTTTCTTTGTGTAATGGATTGGGAACAAAACGTTTTACATATCTTCGTGGGGTGAACAACAACATATAATACTACTTATTTTTTCTAAAATTTAGAAAAAGGTGCAGTTGGCAAACGGAGGCATCCGTAGCTATAGAGATAAGGTGCACCTTCAAATTTTATTATGGTATATAATTTCGATGTAAAATGTTCTTAGGATTATCTCAAAATCTATTTTTATATCTAATCATAAAATTTTAAATGTCAAAAATGGTTAAAAATAAAGTAGATCTATAAACATATGAAAATCTTGAAAATAGACGGTGTAGGTAATATTTTGTAAAATACACTATTTCTTAGACTTAAAATCTTTTTATTTTTAAAACTACATTTCCGATGGATTTTTGAGGTGTATCGTAGGTATAGAGGTAAGGTTGCAACCTTATGTAAACTTTTTCCTTTAGATAATACGTATTTTTTTTGTAAAATTTAGATAATAAATAATTTTTTATATATTCATGCTAACGACAGGTTTGTTTCCTAAAATTTAGATTATTCTTATATATTCATGATGACCACCTATTTTCCTTGTGTAACGGTGATATGATAATTTTATTTCTGATTTGTTTCCCACGTATGTAAGCCATGTTCTATGGTTGGTACAATTTGGTCAACGAAAAGTCCCACATAAAAATACCTAAAGTTCCTAGAAATTCATTTCAAAGTTATGACATATTTCAAAAAATGCCTAATAACTTTCAAACCAAAAGATTATTAACAGGAGGTCTTTTCCATCTTAAAATAGATTCAAAAGGTACCTTCCCACAAAATTTCGTCATTAATAGAAATGTTTGTTGTACTCAATTGATAACACCAATGGGAGTTACAATTCTGAAAAACATGGCATATTTTGGCAAGATTTCAATAGCATATATCCACACCTATATTCACAATCACATTCATATTCATACATAAATTTCACACTTGATGAACTAAATAAACATGCATCAAATAAAAGCATAGAATCATGGAAGCTAGATCTACTTACATGCACCAAAAGAGACTCTAGGTTCTCCACACAAGTTCCTTTCAAAAGACCAAGCTCTAAGGATGTGTTCAAGCTTAAGGCTTTAAGACAAGAGAGGGAGGACGTGGGTGAAAGGGCAGGGAGAAGAGAGAGAATAAAACCCTATAGAGGGGTATGAAGGAGGATATAAATAAGCAAAGAAAGGGGGCGGCAGCATGCAACTAACAATTGGCATATGCATGGCATGCGTGTGCCAACTCAAGAGGCATGTAACAATCATGAGGGAGAGAAGAAGTGGCACATGCATGGCATGCGTGTGCCAACTCAAGAGACATGCAACAATCATGAGAGAGAGAAGAAGTTCCCCTGGACTGTCGCGCTCGACAGCATTGCCCTCGGTGGCGTCACGCTCAATAGCGTCGTGCTCGACAGCATCCTCGTGCCGACGACTAGCCAGTGCACCACAAAATGCCGAAAAAATCCAGGTCCTTACAGAGTCACTATAGCTCGAGGTAAAAAGAAGGTTTTATTATCCTCTCCTTTGAGGATAAGGTTAATACGATAGAAATATGAACTTCAAAGTAAAAACATCACAAAGAGCAAGACGATAAAGACATACCTTTTTTCCACTTGCTTTTTTGATGCAATAAGAGTCGAATTCCAGAATTTTCTAAAGATTGTGCGATGCTGTGAATATCAAATTACAGGTTTAATATACATTTACTTTACTTGCTTGTACTCTTTTTCGATTTTTCGGATATTGTCCTTCATTGATTTTTCAGATATTATGCGATGCAGTAAGAGTAGAAAGAGAGTATGATGATTTAACTGAGAAAGAAAGTCGTTGGGTAAAAAGTAAAATGGAGTAGAGAGAAAATGAGGAAAGAGAGGCAATGAAAGATAGTTAAGAATGTCCATATCATCCGTTTTATATAATTAGTGGTAGTTATGAGATGTTTGGAAATTACTCTTTACAGAGGTACCTTTTCAAAAATGTATCTTTATTCATAGAGGTAGTTATGGCAAATTGTAAGGATGGGGAGGAAATAGCATATCTTTTTTTGTTTTTTTGGTGGAAATGTATCGTTGTGATATTCATAACTACTAATCCCAAAAAAAGAGAAAGTTGAAGAGGGAGATGTATAATTATGCCTAATTTTAAGGATGGGGAGGAAATGAAGTATCTTTTGGTAGGAAGGTATATGTGTGATATTTATAACTACTAATAGCAAGAAAAGGGAGATGACACGTGTCATAAAAAAGAGCAGGTTCTCTTCTCGTTTAAACTATAGTAGATAATTGCAAATAAATAATTTTGGAAGAAAATGAAACGTGTCTCGATTGGAAGCGTGCACATGTACACCCTTCCAACAGTGGAGATTTTACAACTAATAATTAGTATCATATTTTATTTTTATGCTATTTAGATATATTCCTTAAAAAAATATTCAGTATAGGTCCAAATGTTTTCGTAATAAAATTATTGTTTATAATTTTTAAAATTTATTTATTTATTCATATCCACGATCTTCATGTTAGAGATTACGTGCCCTTAAAAAATTAAGCCCAAATATACATCTCAAAAATAGATTTTTAAGAGGCACCTCATTTCTACATGGACTCATAAGAACTAGGTCCATATAACTAAGTAAAAATGATTAAACAATATTCCAAATAAAACAATGACTCAAATATCTCTAAATTTATTTTGATCAATATTTTTTATTTTTTTTAATTCTACTTATAAAAATGTTTATTCAATTCTACTCAGCCTAGCAACTAACCTAAAATGAATTGAATTGGATCACACACCTATAGTTCTAGATCTTCCTAAAAATAACTACAGGGCATCAGTGGGTTGGGAGGTGAATGCCTCTATATAACGTCCCACCCTCCACTCGTATCCTTAACATATTTAAAAAAGGGTTTTGTTAGGGTACTCCTACAGATGAAGTATTTCTTTAATATACTCAACCTTTACATATTTTAAAAAGAGTTTTATTAGGGTACTCTTACATATGGAGTATTTTTTTAATATACTCAATATACATTGGACATTTGTTACCTTTATTTTGTAATACAAATTGTTTTGAACAAGGGTATTTTTCATCATTGAGATAGGTTGAATAGATATTTCTATAAACTAAAACTGGTAGCATTTTATCAGTAATTAAAAAAAAATTAATGTACTTATCCCAAAAAAAAAAATTAATGGTCTATATGGGTGATATCAT